TATGCAGAGAGAGGGCTGCGATAGACGGGCTGCGGTTAGCCCTGGCTGCCGTTAGCTTTGGAGCTCCGCTGGATGCCGCGGTCCTTTCACCTTCGGAAATCTTTTTTTAAATTACATATTAAATCGGTAAATGGACCATATAGTGAAGCTTAAAGTATAATTTTCTCATCTCAAATGATCTTAAAACGTACTTTTATTGAACAACAGCAACAGAAAAGAGAACTTTTAACTTTCAATGGAGCGCTCCATTGAAAGCTGCTGCTGCCGCAGTGTATGCTGGGACAGCTGTCAATCTCAAGAACTGAGAAGTCTGCTCTGATTCATGCTGGGTAAAGAGGGCGGGGCGAGAACAACATCAGAGGATTTGGTGCGTTCTCGGCAATTGGAACAGTGGTCGGGCTGAGACTGATGACTTCACGAACAGACGAGAACGCTCAAGAAAGCATACTGAATAACGGCCCCAGATGTATTCTGCGTGCTCCCGTCCTCCCAGTCCAGACTTTTGGCGTGAACATGAGTCCGTACTCAGTTTCTTGTGAACTGGGAAACGGCCAATGAAATTATTAAAATTAATCATGGCTTCTTCGCAGCTGTTAGTTATATTTACAGAAAAAACCCTGGTGCATCGTGGGAAAGGTTTTGTTTAAAGTAAAAACAATTTGTTTTAACCAAAGCCCAACTCTCTCCTGACAATTATTAGACATGTTTTCTAGAAGCTGCCAACATTTTTGGGCCAACTTGAAAACTTTGCACTGTTTCCAAACAAGCAGAGGGGCCCAGTCAGACCACCAACCCCGGGATGAACTCCACAAATTTCCGCCCCTGAATATTTAAACACGGGCTTTAAAAAAAAAATCAGACCTGTTAAATAAAACACTTCAAGTCTTTTATTTCTATATTTATATGTATATTTTCCCCTTAGTAGACAACATAAAACAAAGCGTCTGGTCTCGCTACTAATGGTAACGGTTAGCCTGCTAGCTCCAGCCTAGCTAGCCGTTAGCTGATGTTCTCCTGCCGTCTTCACTGCTGACACTTGGCCGCATCTTGATTTCCGCTAACCGAACAGAAAAGCCGCCAAACAGGAGGCGTTCATGGGGTAAAAACACCGATAAATATGTTCAGTTAGTCCGGAAGACAAGAGTTTGCTCCTACCTTCCACCCGCTGTGCCCACAACAGACCTTATCAACCTTCGTTTCCCTTTAAAAACATCCTTTTCTGAGCTAATAAAGCTAGCTGCCGCAAGAGCTTCCGGTTTCACCTTTCAAAATAAAACATGAACACGGGTTGTTAATATTAAAAATAAAAATACTAAAAATATTTATACTTTTTAAAAATCTAAATAGAATCATAATTGGAATCTTTTAAAAAAAAATTTAATTCCATTTTTAAAATAATTTAGTAAATTTATTTTTATGTACTGCAGTGTATAATAACCTACACTGAGAGGATGGATGCCTAATAGTTTAACACAAACAAAAAGAAAGCATTATTTATTTTAAGCGTTATATTCACATATTGTCTGTCACTGTTATCGGTTAAATTAATTAACCAATAACATAATTCTGACATATGCAGCGCTTTTATTTTACTGTAATCTCATAATCTGATGGGTGTAAAACCAACTTTACAAAGACCTCCTTCTTTCAGGCCCTCTGCAGCTTTGCATGAAGATTTGCACAAATTCAAAGAGGTGATCCTGTTGATCAGACTGTCAGTCAGACTGTCAGGGGAGACTATTTTCTGCTGACTTTTGCTTTTTTTAAAGCAATTTCCTCTTTAGCCTATGAAATACATTTTAAAGGAGAAGTCCGGTCAGCAAAAAATAATCAATGGATAATTATTTATATCTAAAAAAAGAAAAGGTGATAAGGCTTCAGAAGTATTTATATAGGGTCATCTGCTAAATGATTTTTTCAAAACAAATAAAAAGAAACAATTTTTTACAGCTGAGTTTATCAGTTTTTCTTGAGCTCTAATTCAGATTTTATAGAAAACAGTAATTTCAACTTAAATTAAGTAAAAATATCTAAAATTCCTAAAGTATGAATGTATATTGACCTAATAACACACAGGATTTTAATACAGCCTAATTGGATAGAAGTTTGACTTCATGCAGCCATCCTAATATATTTGAATCCCTTCACCTGTTTTATATTTCATGCTTTTCCCCCATGAAAACAACGCTGGCCCCCTCCTGGCCCCCCGGTACATTTGGTTTAGAACCGCCTCTGTAACCCATTCTGACCTCTAACCCATCTCCATCATGTACTTTTTTTTTTTTTTGCCAATTTTAGTTGATATTTCATTTTTTTCCTCTGTTTATGTGATAAAAACAACACAATGTTTTTTTTTTTTTTTTACACACATTACAGTTTAAGCAACAATAAACATTTATTAGCAAGTCAAACAATGGAAGGAAAATGGAGGCAGCAGCAACGTGAACACTTCAGCTGATTTTTTAAGCATTGCTGCTGAATGCTCTGATGGAGCGACGTCGCATGCATGCATCACCTGATGCAGAAACCATAGGAGAAAAAAAAGCCAAACATGTTTGTCGGCCGATGTATTGGTTAATCTCTACTTGGAAACAACCAACTTTCACAACAGATCGAAGATCAAACACTGAAACACACATAGATATATTGTCACCAGATCATGACTTAGGTCTTTTCTAAACATGACTTTCAATTAAGACCAATGCTAGTTATATTCATCATCCAAACATCAACCTTTCTGTTTGCATGTCCTCTGCAGACTATCTGAGGAATGCTTTCTGTATTTAAACATTACCTGTACTGCTTTAACAGCTCACTGTGTGCCTGGAACTGGATAGTAAATACAAGCTCGGTGAAGGCCACATTAGGGTAAGCAGGCACCACTGTTGGTCACCTTCCACCATTGATAAGTGTGTGAGGCGATAATCTGTTGATTATAGAGAGGATTAATGGAGCAATGAAGTTATCTCACACGAAGGACTCCTTCACAGCCAAACGTTTTCTGACTGGATTTCTCCAGCCACAGTTGTTGTGAAGAGTCAGAACTTTCTTCTAGAAGGTCATGTCTCAGGAACCCGAGGTTCAGGTCAATAGCCTCAGTCTGATGGACCGAGGCTATTGCCTAAAGGGCTGATGCTTCCTCAAGCTGACAGACATCAGACCAGCTTAGGAAACAAAACTCACAAAAAATTCCTTACAACTCTCAGAAGGGAGACAAAAAAATAACCTTTATTATCTTTGAATGATAAGAAAATATTTAGAAAACATTTAGCCTGCCCAACCTAGATGGCTTTGGAAAGGTTAGAATGAAATCAAGATTTTTATGTAAACCTTCAGGTATTGGACGACTATTTAAAAGAGATAATTGGTATATTTGGTGATGCATATAAAAACAGAAGTGTTAACTTGGTATCAACACCGTATAAATCAGGTTCAGGCGGATCCTTAAAAACTCTTAAAAGGCATTGAATTCCTTGATATAAATCTAGGGCCTTAATTAGTATTAATATGTCTTAAATCAGTCTTTTATTGGTCTTAAAATTGTTTCCATCAATACCCGTTTATCCCTTTAGGGAAAAATACACTTTAAACAACCTCAACCTTTTTTTTTAAGCGTATGGCAATCTGACCTTAAATTGTTTCTTTTGTACATTTCTAAAGTGATGCACGTCCATTAAGATAGTTTAAAGTCTATTCTTCATACAAAAATAAAGGGATAAACGCAAGTCTGACGTCTTGTGCATGCGTATCGACTATAGGTATGCTGGTCTGACAGAACACCGTCACACGCAAATGCTCCAAACAAGAACCCCTAACAGCTAAAACCTGGATGGACGCTGAAGAAGAAACTCACAGCATGGAAAGACTCACGTTTATAATAAGGCTGCAACAAGCAAACTATGAAGATGTTCAGAAAAAATCGAATGTTTATTAATGATTACTGATCACCTGGTTATCCTGAGCTATCTCTATAGTTCTGCTGCTATAGACTTAGACTGCTGGAGGACATAGGGACCCTTTTTTCATCATTCTGCTTCATTCTATCTCTATTCTCCCACTCTGCAGAATCTGTTAGTTCAATCTCTAACGTTCTGCTCTCTCTGCTTTTTCTCATAGTAGCTTCATCTGGTCTGTTCCTGTTTGGCTGTGACTCCATCCTGGAGAGAAATATCAGCTGTGCTGCTGCCATCAACACCTTTGTTTCTAGATGTTGGAGCTTGGCCTGTTTTCCAGTGTAGTCCTGTTTCTCTGACTGTGACTAACTGGATGTGCTCTCTTCATCCTCTGACATGGGAGCTGGCTCGGAGCTCGTCTGCCTGGCTGTGTGTTTCCTGGACGGGGCCGCCTGTGGAGCTGGTTGACAGTTGCCTTTTGTATCTATGCTTCTTTTTCTATGTCTGCTTCTGTCTCCTTGAACCCCAGTGGGCCTCAGCAGATGGCCGCTCACACTGAGCCTGGTTCTGCTGGAGGTTTCTTCCTGTTCAAAGGGAGTTTTTCCTCTCCACTGTCGCTACAAGCATGCTTAGTGTGAGGGATTGCTGAAGAGTCAATGAGTCGATGCAATCAGCTGGTTTTCCTTAGATAGAAAACTTTGAATCAATCTGACTGGATGATCTGGTGAACTGGAAAGTGACCTGAGATGACGTGATGTGAATTGGAGCTATAGAAATAAACTGAATAGATTGAATTGACCCGTTCTCTGTAATTTCTTCTGTTTTATATTACATGTACCTTTTGAAAATAAAAAATAGAAGTAAAAAAAAGGTTAAAGTGTCATCTGTCATCATGTCCTTATAAAAACTGGAAGAATAAACAGTTTAAACTTTTATTATTATACAAAAACCAAAATGACTTTAAGCCATCTAATATAAGACAGTAAAACATTTTAAACAAGTTGTTAATCACGGCCTGTTGGTCACAACGAGTTTAATGTCAGCAGGGCAGCTCAGCAGAGGATAATAGCCTGTAAGTATGCGGATCCTCTCAGTCAGCAACATTAACGGGGACACGACGCATCCTGCTCCAGCCCCGCATGCTTAGCTGAAGGGGTATTAGCCATAACGCTGGAGGCTCAGTCAGAGTCCGCCGTCTGCTGTGGAGGACGCTGCTTATCATGGGGAGCACCAAGAGGGTAGGAAACCTATGGAACAGGAGGCAGAGCCTCTTCCCAAACTACAAAGTCACGGACTCGGACGCCAATCGAAGACCATCTGAGACCGTTTACCCGCTCGCCAAGGAGAGCTGCGTGAAGACATGGAACTCCATGCAAGAACTGAGCCGGGACATCTATGACATATATGCTGAGTATGAGGATGAGGAGGACGATGGTGGCCCGCTCAACTTCTCCAGGCAGATCTCCCCCTCCAAGAAGAATTACGTGATCAACATCAATGTAGGAGGGAAGCCCTATCAGATCGCATACAAGATGGCAGCAAAGTACCCCAAGACCAGGATAGGACGCCTGGCCACCTACACGGATCACAACATGAAGCTGGACTTGTGCGACGACTACATCGTGACCAGCAACGAGTACTTCTTCGACCGGGACCCAGAGGTCTTCCACAGCATCTTCAACTTCTACAGGACGGGCGTGCTGTGGATCAAGGATGAGCTGTGTCCCCGCAACTTCCTGGAGGAGATCAACTACTGGGGCGTGAGGATCAAAAACACCAACCGCTGCTGCCGCATCTCCTTCGAGGAGAGGCAGGACGAGCTGAACGACCAGCTGAAGATCCAGAGGGAACTGGAGGCCGAGGTGGAGATAGAGGAGAATGAGGAGCTGTTCCATGACATGTTTCTGGGTCAGACTCGTCGAGCCATCTGGAACCTGATGGAGAAGCCCTTTTCCTCCGTCAAGGCGAAGATAATGGCGGTGGCCTCCAGCCTTTTTGTCCTGATCTCCCTGGTGGCCATGACCCTCAACACGGTGGAGGAGATGCAGTACAAAACGCACGCGGGCCACCTGAGCGGCAAGACTTACTGTGAATACGTAGAGTCCATATGCATCGCTTTCTTCACCATGGAGTACGTGCTGCGCCTCATATCCACCCCTGACCTCAGGGCCTTCAGTCGAAGCGTCCTCAACACCGTGGACCTCATCGCCATCCTGCCTCAGTACCTGCAGGGCATCCTGGAGTTCTTCGACAGCGAGGAGAACTACATGAAACACGAGGCTGACATCAAGGCGGTGGGGCAGGTGGGCAAGCTGGGGCAGGTGTTGAGGATCATGAGGCTGATGCGGATCTTCCGAATCCTGAAGCTGGCTCGCCACTCCACCGGCCTGAGGGCGTTTGGCTTCACCCTGCGGCAGTGCTACCAACAAGTGGGCTGCCTCTTCCTCTTCATCGCCATGGGCATCTTCAGCTTCTCCGCCATGGTGTTCACCGTGGAGCACGACATGCCGCAGACCAACTTCACCAGCATACCACATGCATGGTGGTGGGCAGCAGTAAGTGGATCTTTGGTGTCGGTCTCCAGTCAGAGCAGCGCTCATTTCAAGGTGTTTGATTTGCAGAAAGATGATTTGAGTTGGAACAATGGCCTCAGACAGGTGGTGACAAAGCCTGCCCGTCTGCCAGAAATAAACCCATTACCAGATCATCGCACTGGCTCCCACAACAGGTGGTGGAGTCCTGCTTGTAATCCAGGGAGGGGAATAATAATCCTCAGAAGCAAACTGATGGATAACACAAAGGGAGGAGCGAGCGAAGCCAAGAGCTGCAGACTCTGGTTGTTTTTTACCAGTAATGAGTCACTGAAGCCGACACTTCTGAGTCATCTTTGCAGTGTTTCATTCAGATATGAAACGGAGGGGATAGATATGCTAACCTAAACAGACCTAAACAGACCAGGAAAGATGAACCTCAGAAGCAAATATTAATATAGAGAGCTGATAAAGCAAAAAGATTTGATTTAAAATGAGGAACAACGGCAGATTTACAGACAATACAAATAAATGAAGAAGAAGGTAAAAAAGTTTACATACCATCAATTTAAGGATGCTTCTTAACTGTTTATTTAAAAAGGTGAAATAAAATCCCAACAGTGTTTTCAAAAATAAAGATCCATTCACAGTCATTATGGGTCAAAAGCTACTCAACAGGTTTTCTCTTTAGTGAATTTCAATAAACTTCTGGCATAATTACTATCCAGACGTTCAACCAAAACTGTTTTAAAGTAATTTATTAAATGTGACTGCAGTGTTGATGTGTGTGTGTGCTCTTGGTTATAATATATTGTCGGGAAAAATAGCACATTGTGGGACAGACTGCTCCTTGTGAGGCCCGATGTGTGGACCCCACAGGGAAAATTGCTGTTTTAGTGTCAGGGATCATGTTTAGAACTAAGGTGTGAACTGAATTTAGGTTTGAAATGAAGCCGTAATAGTTAGGGTCATGTTAGACTTTTTAATTTTAATCTGTTACTTTAAACAGAATTTAACACTGAAATAAAATTAGGTTTTTATGGATCCATGTTATACATTAACCTTTAAAAAAAACAAAACGTTTCCATTTTAAAATCTAAATTGTTTTTTTTAAGTAGAGAACAACAATCGTTCAGTTTCCCATATTTTCTCAAACCCCTGAACTGAGCGTTTGTTATTTTCTTTCTTTTTTCTGTCTTAATGTTGGCAGTGGGCTTTAGGCTGCCCTTCAAGGCTTTAAACCTGGGTTTAACCAGAGACTAAGCCATTCTCAAGCACATATCTAGGAGCTCATTTTGAGCCTGGATCCAGATTTATTGTTGATTCTGTTCATGGTGGAGAATCCTGCTTCACAGCAGCAGGTTGAGCCAAACATCCTCTAAATGTGCAGGGTCATCTTTGAGCACGCCATTTCACTTTTCTTTCACCAGTTCACCGCAGTTCTTCCAGCAGTCCACACTTTCTCTGCTCTCTTTTTCTCATCGTCTTCTCCTTCTTTCCCATCGCCCGGCTTGCCACAGGTTTGCCTGCTGTGTCTAAAAGTAGTGCAGCCTGGAGCCGGACGCTCCGGAGGGCTTTACGGTATTAACAGGAGAAGAGTAGCAAGTGAAGTTAGACACTGTTGTCAGACAACATGCAGTGATTTATAAATGTTTTAAATCAGGTTGGGTCCGGATCTGGACCGCTTAAGTAGTGGCCTTGAAATTTTCCAAAATGCACCTTGAAAAGTAAAGATAATCCATGGTCACTAGATGTGCTGATATATCCCATGATGCTTTGCCACGACAGCCTGGCAAAGCATCATGGGATTTTTTTCGGTGTCAGTAAATTACAAAGATGGCGCAGGCATCGTCTGGGAAGGAGGAGTTACGTGACCAACGGTGAGCGAAAAGTATTGACCATCTGTCTGAACGGTCCGTTAACTGAGTTCACTTTATAGCCCACTATATAGCGATGGAGGGATTCAGCTTTGAAGACTATGTGGTAGCATCATGCCATGGGCTGGTCACTAGTGCTAAAATTGTCAGTAAATTTGAAGTCAGAGAGGATTCCTGGAGTTGCTGAGTTGGCTCCAACTTCCTGGTTTTGGTGTCACCCATGAATCTCAGAGTCTCTTTGTTTGCTCACCAGCGCTGAACCAGCTCTCCCCTGTCTGTCCATAGGTGAGCATCTCCACAGTGGGCTACGGAGACGTGTACCCAGAGACAATCCTGGGTCGCATCTTCGCCTTTGTCTGCATCGCGTTTGGAATCATCCTGAACGGCCTGCCCATCTCCATCCTCTTCAACAAGTTCTCAGACTACTACTCTAAACTGAAATCCAACCAGTACACAGCCTGCCTGAAGAAACGAGGGAAGGTCAGGTTCTCCGAGAGGACCATTAACTCGGTCAGCAACTGCTTCGGCAGCCATCACTGATTCCTTCTGGGAAAATCTGAGCAGGAAATGTGCCTGAAAAACACGTATGGAAAGATGGCAGCTTCCGAGCAGGAACACGGAGACATGCAGCTTCTGCAGCCTCTCTAGCAACGCTTAGTGGTAGGAAGGAGTAATGAAGGAGGAGAGCATTTACTTGAAGGTAGAAATGGAATAAGTCTGCAAGACGCCACACATTGACTTGTTTTCCTAAAATAAGTCAAAAAGTTTAAGACTGATGATCTCTAAACTTACTGAATACTTGATGCTTATTGGACTCCATTAAAAATGCAGAAAAAAAATCAAAATATGTATTGAATAGGGGATATTTGTGTGCATATTTTTGTAAAAACGTGGCTTCAGTGAAGCTGAGACGAATCTTTAAATGTTTACAGGTTTGACTCTGTTCCTGTGAGGCCAAGATATGATGTGTCAGTTATTATTCCTATAAATAATGCTTCTGCTTTACAGAGTATTGCAATAATCGCCAACGATGCTTGTCTCATAATAAACTCAGAATGTTTTCATTGGAGTCAGAATGCAGACCTTTTTAAATAAAATCTGGGGAAAGCGTGTTTCTGCTGACCTCAGACAAAAGCCGTGTGTTCAAATTTACTTCAATCATCTACAATCTGCAGACCTGAATGAAACTAAAGTCTCTCTCATCAGTCCCTGGTCCTGGATTTATGTATGTGAATCTGAACCTTCTTCATGAATACGGAGATACATTTGTTCCAACATTTTTCACATGTTTCAAATAAGGAAAAATGAAAAAAATATGTTTCAAAAATGAAAAACAAAGCAAAAAAATTTTTTTTTGTGTTTGCATGTCCTGTTTTGCCTATAGAAGTCTGGAAATAGATGTTCCAGAGATAACTGATAGCCCAACAGCTTTGCTTTCACAAGCAGACCATTATGACTGTTGCCATGAGGTTCTGATTGATGCTTGTATATTAAACTTTAATAAAAATTATTTAAGGAGTAAAATTGTGTACGACAGGGAGATAGAAAGGGAGGTCAGAAAGACAGAGGGGATAAGAACTAAGGGAAGAGAGAACAAGATAGAGACTGGAAAGAGGGCATGAAAAGAGGAAAAAATAAATTAAAACAGTAAAAAATAGACACAAGATATACAGTAACTCCTAGAAGTCTGTTTCCACATCTGGATGAGATGAGAGGAACAGAAAACGGAGAAAATAACCGCAAAAAGAGAACAACTGACAACCAAAGCAAACATCAAAAAAAGCTTCAATAGTAGCGGGCATCCTTTCCACGTGGTTCAGAGTCAGAACCTGTGGTGATTTCACAATATATATATATATATATATATATATATATATATATATATATATATATATATATATATATACACAGTATATATATATATATATATATATATATATATATATATATATATATATATATATATATATATATATATATATATATATATATATATATATATATATATGTATATATATATATATATATATATATATATATATATATATATATATATATATATATATATATATATATATATATATATATATATATATATATATACAGGGGTTGGACAATGAAACTGAAATACCTCTCATTTTAGTATGGGAGGTTTCATGGCTAAACTGGACCAGCCTGGTGGCCAATCTTCATTAATTGCACATTGAACCAATAAGAGCAGAGTGTGAAGGTCCAATTAGCAGGGTAAGAGCACAGTTTGGCTCAAAATATTGCAATGCACACAACATTATGGGTGGCATAGCAAGTTCAAAAGAGGACAAATTGTTGGTGCACGTCTTCCTGGCGCATCTGTGACCAATAAAGCAAGTCTTTGTGATGTATCCAGGGTAATGTCAGCAGTGTTGGGAAAGTTCTCTTTCTACGTGAACTAGTTCAAAGTTCAGTTCATACATTTTAAAATGAACTAGTTCAGTTCATAGTTCATAATTCAAAATTTTGAACTAAGTTCACAGTTCCAAAAAATGAACTAGTTCAGTTCTTTTTTTTTTTTTTTTCATATATTGCTCAATTACACCATAGCCTACTGTAGAACCACAGACAGCAATTATTTTATCAGTTGTAACACTGAAACTGTGCGTCAAATTTCATCTTCATATCCAGTTTTGAATCCTTATCCAACCAGGGTTTACATTAGCGTTGAGGGGACAGCATTTCCTCATTGTTGCTTTAACGCTTTGTTGCTGTCCATTCACTTCACACTAGTAGCAGCTGCAGCTTTCACCCCTACAGTATATTCTCAAAAACATCAGGAAAAATGTGCTGCTTGAATGGTCTTTTTTATGAGGAATTATTAAAAGAAAAACAGGAAAGCAGTCTTTAAGGTGCAAATGTTTTTTTAAATTTTAATATTTTTTTCAATTTGAAATTCCATTTCTTTACATACTAAAAAGGAATCCTGGAAAATTATACCAGGCAGGTTTAACAAACAAGTTACATGAATAGTAAAACCCTCAAGAACATTTTACTAACAGAAACTGAGGGACCAGGCTGAGGTAGGAATTTAAGGTTACTGAAGTGCGGATTTTTTTACTGGAAGCCGGCGGGCAAAGTTTGCAGAGAAATGTAAGATTGTCGCCATCATCCTCACCGACCACCTGGTCATAAACCTGTTTTAAGCGATCATACTGCTGCTTTGTCGTCTCCATGCTGCTGTGGCTTCCACGCTGCATCTTGTTTCAACCCAGTCTCATGGGAAGGCCACGACGCTGGTAGCTGGTGTTGCCAGATTGTGTTTTCCCCGCCACATATTAAGGCCTGTTTACGGTGTGATTTAGCCGGGGTTTCGCCTGGAGGGCTCTATAGAAATCTGGCAACCTATTGAACGGAGTTGAACTGAGAGAGCGAGCCGTTCACAGACACCAGAATGAACGAGTTCACAATAACGTTCATCAGGCGGTAATGCAGTACGTTCAGTTCACGTTCGCCCAAAATATGAACGAGTTCATGAACTTTCGTTCAATGAACGCGTTCAGGCACAACACTGAATGTCAGCAAACCACCAAGAAGGACGAACCTCATCCAACAGGATTAACTGTGGACGCAAGAGGAAGCTGTCTGAAAGGGATGTTCGGGTGCTAACCAGGATTGTATCCAAAAACATAAAAACACGGCTGCCCAAATCACGGCAGAATTAAATGTACACCTCAATTCTACTGTTTCCACCAAAACTGTCCGTCTGGAACTCCACAGGTTCAATATACACAGCCGGGCTGATATAGCCAAACCTTTGGTCACTCATCCAGCAGAAAATTGGGGTCAACACCAATTCCCATCATGTGGCTCACACCTCCGCTGGCCTGAACATTGAGGATGGCAGCTACCTCCTCTGCTGAGACTGAGCCTTTTGTGTTCAGTGGAACTGTGTCTTGAGCTGACACATTTGGCATCTTACCACCATCGTTTACAACAGCTTGACGGTTGTTGGACACTCTGAAGACATCCTTAGCCTTTCCCCTCAGATACACAAGGATTTCATCAGCCTGTTCTTCAATTTTAACATCAATTTTTGCTAATGAATGTTTTCACCTGATCTTCCCAGTCATGCACTGTAAAGGAGTCTGAACCATCACCTGCAAAACATGGAGGTTCTTTGACTCTTCTGACGTGACAACCTGAACTTGGGATACATCAGATACACAACTGGGCTGATCCACAGTACTCACTACAGTTTGTGTGGTTGTAGAACTGGGAGCAACTGTGTTTTGTGGCTGCATGTGTGAAATGATACTGTCAGCCAGCTGATGTCTTATCTCTTAGATAACAGATTTAATCTGGGCAGTTACACACTCAGAACTGTCACTAGTAGGGATTGGTGTAGGTGTGTTGGCATAATTGTCAACAGGATTATGAATCCTAGCACTAGGAATTTCATCTATTGAAGGTATAAGACCTCTTGGAGTAGGACTATCAACAGGAAAAGAAATGGAAGCAAGCACACCTCTTCCCCTACCAATATTTTTGGGTGTGCTAAACCAAAAGTGGTTACTTTGATAAGACATTGTTCAGGAGTTTGATAAATAAAAAGATATTCAGAATCCAAAATCCAATAGAAAATAAAATAATAAATATCAATAAATAAATTGAAACAACAAAAGAAAACTAGCAACTTGTGAATTACTGTAATGGCATATAAAAATTCTCAGCTTACAGTAAAATTTTCTAATGCTACAGTGTCAGCTGTGAAGGTGAACTCATACACAATGTGAACTGATGTCTTCAAAAACTGATGTGGCAGGCAGGACGGTCACAGGTTCGATGAACTTGATTGAAGTCCAAGGTCACGGAACCAATGTCACAGCTCCTCTATTAGCCATCCCGTCATGCACAGATCGGATGCCAGACAGTTGGGTTTAAAAAAAAAAAAAGATTTACTGTAATGAATGGTAGAGAAAAACAAATACTCTGGTTAGCCTCCCCTCTAGTTCACCAACAGTACAGCTGGGGGCCGAACAGATTCTGTCTTACATACACAATGAAATTACATAAATTCACTCGCGTATAGATTATTTCTTTATAAACAATTCAGACAAATATAAAGTAGAGGAATGTCAAATTGGGAACGCAGATATTTCAGATCACAACGCTATATATATATATGAGAATTAATGTTGCTAGCAGTGAAAAAAACGGACTTTGTGGAGATTAAATGTGGGCATTTTGAATAATGAAGGTTTAATATAAGATTTGAAAGAAGAAATCAAACAATATATTGACCAAAACGACAATGGAGAGGTGAACCCATTAGTTGTATGGGATGCTCTAAAAGCAGTGATGCGAGGAAAAATAATTTCTAAAACGGCTTGGCTGAAAAAAAATAAAATGAAAACATATGAATTGTTGGGATCTGGAGATCTGCCACCTTTCTCCAGCAGAGGGCGCCCTGGGTCTCCTGAGCTGAAGCCTCCAGCACACCTGCGGCTGATGATCTCATCAGGAGACCAGCTTTATAAGCAGCGGCTGAACTTCCCTTCAGTGCCAGAGTGTTAAACAGTTATGGTTAGCAAGCCTGAGCCAAACCTGTTGCCTGGATCTCTGACTGCTCTGAAAAGCCAACCTGAATCTAACCAGCCTTTGTCCTCTCTACCTTCCTAGGAAGACCTGATTGACTCCAGGAGCTCTGGAAGAGCTCATAGTCTGAAACCTGCCTGCCTGCCCTATGAAGTCAAACCTGAAGATCTCTGTCTGGATCAACCTGCATGTTCTCAAGGAGAGAACTAAGAGATCAACTCAAGGTCTGAACCTCATAAGCCTGAAGCCAATGATACCTCAGTCTCTGGACCCTTCTGGTTCCCTCCCTCTACTGCTCCGTCTGAACCACATCAGGTACAGATCAATTCTAAGACTCTGTCAAGATACTCCTATCCCTTGGCTAACCAAACTGTCCCTCTCTACAGAGAGTCCTGTGTTAACGGTTCCTAGATCCGTTCCTGCATCAGTACCAAATAACTTTATTGTGTTTCTCTTCAATAAATCAGTTTGAACTTTTACTCTATCTCCGTGGTGTTCTGC